GGGGCTGGCCCTGAACTCCTTTCTTTTGGGGTAAGATAACTAAAAAAAAAAAAAAAAAAAAGCTAAAGCTCTAATCTTGTTAATTCAATACAATAAAAACTAAGTTTTAAATCTGCCTTTTTAAAGTGATTTACACATCAGACTTATTTTAAAAATTATTTTGGCTTACATAAGGCATTCTACACACATTTCCAAGGCTTATAGTACTTTGGGGTTGAGGACTTTATGTACAAGAAGTGACATGTCATGATTTCCTAATGGTATTGATTGGAAACATGACAATTTTTTCTCTTGAAAAAATTAAATCATTTTTAAATGTTCAAAGAAACAAGTCTCAATACAAAGCTTTATTGATATTTTATTCATAAGATTTTCAAAAGTCATAAACAGCAAATATAAGAAAATTATAAGCCACATCCTGAATTTTTATCCCTTGAGGTTACCTTTGAGAATGGTGCTATAAGCATACAAACTATGTAGGTCCATATACGTTGAGCTTTAAAAGAAAGAATGTCTTCATAGCTCTAATTTCTGTCTTGAATGATTGTTTTCTCAATGAAAGCAATAGCTTAAAATGATCTGTTCCTAAATTTGACTTTTCTGGACAAAAAAATTGAGTTGATTCTTAACTTGTTTCTTACTAAAGGAAAGGACTTTGCCAACAATTGTTTTATCTCCAAACCAACCAATGTCTCTTTGTTAAATTTTTTATTTGGAAATAATTTCAAACATATAGGAACATTACAAAAATAAAACCTTTAAAAAACATGCATATATTCTTTACCTGGATTCACCAATTGTTAACATGTTCTCTTATTTTCTCTTTCTTGATAGATACATATATATTTTTTCTGAACTATTTGAGAGTAAGTTGCATTTGTTGTATTTCAGTGTATATTTCCTAAGAATAGGGATATTCTCTTACATAATCACAAATGCATCCCTTTTAATTGAATTTAAATAATAGGAGACAGCTTACCATCAGTAGTTTCATCACCTCCAAAACGCTGTCGGTAGAAGAGCATCAACTCAATGTTGTAGCATTTGTAGGTTACGACCAGTAGTACAAGGAGGAGAAAGATTGCTCCCAGGCCCCCTGCAAGCTCAATTTTGTAGATTAAATCTGGAGCAAACAGAAACAAACAGGAAAAGGTAATTAAATCAGCAACAATTGGAATTTTCCCATATTTCTAGTATGTAAGATGTACTACCAATTTTGCTTTTCTTTCCAAAAAGATTATTGCTTCATGCAGTGGCTTTGCTCTTAAAATGTTTGTATGAATCAAATTTTTGTTAAATTAACTCTCTTCTGAAGATTCAAATAATTTACTATTTAAAAAGGTAAGTCTTTCTGAAAGAAACAGTAACTCCCAATTTGTTTTGAAAACATCTAGATTTCACATATATACTTTTGCTTTAAGTGTATTTAAGGGAACTATCAAAGCTACTTTATTCTGGGTCCAGGGCCAATATTTTGTTGTTTGTGTTAAATTATTGGCTTAGCAAGATTACCATCTAGTACTTTTCAGGCCACAGGTCTTATTCTTCTATAGGAGAACAATATCATAAGATTACTTTCAGAATCAAATAAATCCTAATGAGTTTGCAGGATTTAACTGTTTCATTTAACCTCTGTAGTACACAATTCAATACAAGGTAAGCAGGAGAAATTAGCTTATCCATTTCCCCTGCTTATTTGAATAAATGACTATAATATGTATGTGATATAATATGCCCAGTGGAGCTAAATGAGAAAGAGAAATCCAGGCTCATCACATGGCCTCTTTGGCCAACACCAGGCTACCTGATAGCCTTAGGCTGATCCAGTGGGACTTCCCTGGAACAATTAAATCGACACATAATGGAAGGAGACATTATGTCTCCCAGATTCGGGGAATAGTGACTTACCAGTAGCTTAATTAATGATATTAACAAATCTAAATATTGTATCATCAAAAGGGTAAATGGTATCATGGAATTTAGAGAAATGGGAAGTCAGAGAAGAATTTATAATGTGAGTTTCGCAATGTCCAGAGGAGAAATGCTGAATCTGAGAAACACCAGACCAGAGACATAATTTCCACTGTGAGACAGGGACATCATTGGTCTAATCAAAATTAGATTTAAATTGCCTACAAGATTAGCTAACCTCCCTCTAATCTAATTCCATAATTACCAAGTGACTCTTTTATTACTAATTTAGGTTACCATATAACTAGAAACTGGGAAAAGGAGTGGCATTCTCGTTTGTACACCAGTTGCTTATAAGTTTGATTGGCATCAGTCGGTCTCCCTGGATGGATCAATTCTGGGGCACTGTCAAAATCAAATTGCTGACCATGACAGGCTGTCACTTTTGAGAATCAGATAGTCAACCTTTCTCTGAGAACGTCCCTTATCTCTATATAGGATTATTGCTTAAGAGAAATTAGTCAGGCTCAATATGACAGTTAAGATGCCTTTAGTGTGTTAATGTTTATAGAAAAGATAAGCATATAATATATATAAGTAATTACAAGTAATATATATTATAGATAAAATTTCAACCTGCCTATCATCTATTCTCTACATAAACCTTTAGGGCCAGAATTATTGGTCTAAATCTATAAATGAAGAATCTGAGACTCAGTAGGTTATGTCACATACCCAAGGTCATACATCTAAGAAGTAGCCAAAATGGGACTTATGCTCAGATCTCTTACTTTCAGTTCAAAGGTTTTTTTTTTTTTTTTTTTTTTTTAATACCACAGCTTTGTATACTCTAGGCTGGTAAGTGCCAACAGAAAGCCTTTTACCTGTTGTTCTTCCATAGCACTGTTGGTAGTGCTTCCTGACAACATGTGACTTGTGATTTTTAGCTCCTTCTGCCCTTTCATTTCCAAGGGAAGAAGGTAAACTACAATTCACCAGACAGAATGAAAGAACGGGGCAGATCTCAGACACTTCATTGGAGGGTACTGCAGAATCTTACAGCTGTAGCCAGGGAGGAAGGAGGGGCTCCCTGAAGTCCACTGTATGAAGAAAAGTGTTAGGTTTTGTGGGGAGAGAGGGATGGAAAGGAAGTGGAGTGAGAGAGGAGATTCTGGTGGCCAGACACAGCACAGCCAATCAGGAGAGTTATATAGTGGAAATGAAAAAAACGCAACTAAATGTCACTCTTTTTGAGAAAGGAAAAAGTAGGTAAGATGGAAAAAGGAAGAGAGTACGGCTGCTGTGAAGGGCAAAATATGTCAATAAGGAACATTTTGAGGGGACACATAATAAGTAGACTTAGGAATTTAGAATCTGTGTCTGTCCTGCCTACTGTATGACGTGGTCATTTTGAAAATTAAGTCACAAAATTTCAGGTAAAATAAAAAATTGCAACCACCTATTAGCTCTGCCTGCTGCCCTCTATACAGAAAGTGGCTCCGCAGGAACCATTGCCTACCTCTATGTGAGGAATAAAGTAGGCTTGCTTATGAGACCTCTGTAGGGCTACAAATCACAATTTTTTGCTTGTATTCTCACCACCTTACATCAATTATACATTATTAATAGCCAGTGTTAAACTGACAGACTAATATGATTTTCTTTGTTACTCTGAAAACTGACTTCTCTTTTATCTTAGAGCATTGATTGACTTCATTCAAAATATTTTTCCTGTTGTAAGATGTTCATTTTATACTGTAAATTTTTCTCGCTGTCTCTCTGTCTCTCTCTGGTCAGAACAGATTTCAACTGTTTTCAAAATCATTGAATGGGAATTTTTTCAGCAATTTCTATATTATTTACAGAGTAGAGTTGCTATTAGGTAGATGGAAAACCTCAGCTGAAGGAACAATTTGTGCTCCCAAGTAGCAGACAACTTTTTCAGTCCTAAATTTATGGAAGAAAACTGTGGTGTGAAAAGTACCTTTGTGGTTTTGGGGTCCATTTCATAAAAATGTCTTTGAAAGATATTATGTAATGTTGGATGTTTAAGTTGAAAACTATAGACCCAGGCCCTGAAACTCAACTAATATTCTTTGATTCAGCCTAGGCAGTCATATCAAAAGGGAAACATCTACCTTATAATCAGAGGGCAGAACTGCCATTACCCAAATGACACCTGGCTTTTCTTTTGTCTTTTGTTTTCAATTGCCACTTTCCATCTCAGCAGGATGTATACTTCTAGGGACATTTCCTGACTGAGAAGCTGAAAGTCATTTTATTTGGGCTGTGTCTTGTATACACTTCACAAGGATAGCAGTAGCCGGAAAGGCAAATGTTTATGGGATATAAGTTTTTCTAGGCACCCAAAGTGCAAATGTAGTTATTTTTAACCTTCTTAGTTTGAACCCAATTATTTATTCACTGTAAACACAGAGATTAGATATTATAGAATGGGACAAATAGCGGCTGAAGCCAAGGGACTGAAGAGAGAGAAGGCCAGGAATGTTTGAGCTTGTTCCTCTGACTTGGAAGATGTCAAGCAGATTTGGAGATCCCACCTGGGTTCTTCTGCCATGGTCTGAATGCTTCTGTTTCCCCAAAATTCATATGTTGAAACTTATCCACCAAGGTGATAGTATTTATTAAGAGGTAGAGTCTTTGGGAGGTGATTAGGTCATGAGGGCTGTGTACTCATGAATGGGATTAGTGCCCTTATAAAGAAAAAGGCTGGAGAGAGCCTGTTTTTCTCCTTTGTCATGTAAGGACAAATAGGAGGCAACTTCTATGAGTAATGGGCCCTTACAGGACACCAAATCTGCTGACATCTTGATTTTGGACTTTCCAGCCTCCAGAACTGTGAACAATATAATTCTGTTGTTTATATATTACCCAGTCTAAGGTATTTGGTTATAGCAGCCAAATAGATTAAAACTGAAATTAGTGCTTAGAAGTGAGGTGCTGCTATAACAAATACTTAAAGCTGTGGAAGCAACTTTGGAACTGGAACAGGTAGAGTTTTGAGGTACCTTGCCATAAAATGAGTCTTAAGAGCAATTCTGGTGAGGGCTCAGAAGAAGGAGAGAGCTGTAGAGAAAGTCTCAGTCTTTTTAGAGATTACTTAAGTGGTTGCAATCAGAATGTTGGAAGAAATATATGAACAGTAAAGACCATTCAGATAAAGACTCAGACAGAAATGAGGAATAGGCCCTCACCAGACAAGAATATGCTGGCACCTTGATCATGGACATCTCAGCTTCCAGAACTGTGAGCAATAAATTTCTGTTGTTTATAAATTACCCAGTCGATGGTGTTTTGTTATAATAATCTGAATGAACTAAAAAAGCTTCCTGTACAGGTTTGGGGGTCAGGGTGGAACAGCAGGACTTGGAATAAAGAGAGGGATTCAGTGATATGCCTCTGTTTTGTGGGAAAGGAAGTGTGTGCAGAGAAGCAGAAATAATTATAAGACTTTTTCTTTTAAGCCTAAGTTCAGACTCTTGGCCAAGTTCAGAGTCTTGGCTCACCAAAAAACCAAAATTAAAAAACAAACAAAAAAAAAAGAAAAAAAAAGGATAGACCTTATAGTGAAATGCAGTTGTAATTACTGGAAAATAGTTCATTAGGGAATAAGGAAGTGGTAGGTGCATGTAGAAGATGCATAGGTGAGGGGCATCTTGTTTTTACAATACCTAACCCTGTTAGTTGGATATAGTAGACATGAGTTTTTATTTTACAAAAAGCCTTTTCACTTTATGAAAAGATTGATCATATATTTCTTCTCCATAATGATCACTTAGGGCATTTTAAATGTTCAACTTACAGCTCATCAAGAAGTTATTATTCCATAAAACAAGCCATACTCATATTCCAGGTGAGAACACTGCATCTGTTGAGGCCAGGCTATACTGTGATAAAGCCTAAAAGTCCAGTTCCAAAGGAAATATCTGAAGTTCCTCAAGAGAAGCCATAGCTTGGTCTGACTAAAAAAGTGGGACAGGGCCAGAGTGATTCTTGCTCTTTTGGGGGGGTTCAACGATATTGTTGAGAGCTCCTCAGGAAACCAAGTGAAGGAATATTAACTGCATCATTTTGCAAAGCACAGTGAAAAATTTAACTGCTACCTAGAAGAGAGTGCAAACTGGTAAACCACAGGCCAAAAAATGGTTTCGTTGGACTATACAATGTTTCCAAAAGGTGAATACTAATATTTAAAAATCAAAAGATTTCATATATGATCTTCCAGCTTCACTTTAAAACTTTGATGCTCTAATATTTCTGGACCTACATTCCAGCAAGTATGGCAATAATCTTCTAAACAGATTGCTGGATGTCCCTTTAAAGCAAGGCTTGTTTTCTCTAGTCTGTGTTTTGTTTTATATAATATCCAGCCCTCTATTAAAAAAGAAATCTCGACGTCAGCCTGGCCCCTGAAGTCTTTGAGTTTTCAATCCTTTACCTTAGAAAGTAAAAATCTCTGAAAAGAGAAAATGTATTTAGGTAACCCAAGGCAGACATTTGTTAAGAAAAGTTCACAGAACAAATCCTCTCATTACTAATCCCTATATCTATTCCCCACCCCAGTGTGCTGGTCTTCTACCAAGAGAATTTGCATCCAAAACATATTTTTGAGCATTTATTATGTTTTATACACTAGAGATACATCAGTAAATAAGGCAAGAAAAGTCCCTGTTCTCATGGAGTTTCCATTCTAGTGCGGGGAAAGAAGACAAGAAGCAAACAAATATGTAATGTAATATCAAGTAGTGATAGATACAACAAAAAGAAATAGAGGCAAGTTAAAGAGAAAAGAAAATAAATGGTAATACTATGTTATGTAGGGCAACTAAGCAGAGACCTGTATGCAGTGAGGGAGTGAGTCACTGGGACAGCTGGGGGAAGAGTGTTCCAGGGAGAGGAAATAGCAAATGCAAAGGACCTAGGGCAGGACTGTGCTGTGAGCATGAGAAATAGACAGCAGGCTAGGGTGTACGATGTTTGAGGCAGATTGTGGTAGAAAGTAAGATCAGAATTAAGAACAGATTGTGTAGTGTCTTATAGGCCATGGTAAGTATTTGGGATTTTATTCTAAGTGTAATAGGGAAGGTTCTGTGATTGGATGGTTCCGATCAGGGAAATAACATGATCTGACATACTAAAAGGTTCCTTCTGGTAGTGTGATGAGAATAGACTGTGAGGGGCCCAAGGTGGAAGCAAGGAGACCAGTCAGCAGGCGATGGCAGGGAGCCAGGCAATAGGTGCTGGTGGCTCAGACAAGGGCGGGGGCAGTGAAGGTGGGGAAAGTGTTCAAAGTCTAGATAGGTTTTGAAAGTAGACCCATGGAATTTGGTGGTGGATTAGATATAGGATGTGAGTAGAGAAAAGAAAAAGTGAAGAATGACTCCAAGGATTTTTGCCTGAGCAATTAGAAGGATGATGATGGAGATCGAGAAGGGGATTGGAGGATCAGGTTTGTAGGAAGGATAAATTAGGAATCCTGGCTGGGAAAAACTAAGCGTGATATGCCTATAGGATCTCTGAGTGGAGTTGCTAAATAGGCAATTGGATATACAAGTCTGGAGTTCAGGTGAGAAGTCCAGGCTAGAGGTATAAATTTGGGAGTTGATGGCATATAAATGGTAAGCAAAACCATGAGATGGTGATTGAATGGAATCACCTAGAGGGAATGAGTGAGAAGAGGGGACCTGAACTCTGGGGAACTCCAATATTTAAATATCATGAAGATGAGGACAGATATTGTCAGTTATTCATGATTTAGACAGGTTTCCTTATAGAAGCCATGGGAGGTAGCTGAGTTTTACAGTGTGCCTCAGTTACTAGTGTCAGATTTTAGAAGTTTTAAGGGCTGCCTGTTATTGCTTTACTTGTTAAAGAGAAATGGATTTATTTTAAAACTCAGATAAGGCTATTTTGGACTCCACTGGCTGAAAGATAGGACTCCTATAGTTTTCCTTACAGCAGGTTTTTAAATGTAACATTATATAATGTGTGTAACTGTTTGTTTAATGTTTGTCTTTCTTTACACTCTCACCTCCCCAAATAAACTCCCCAAGGACTTGGGGATGTCTGTCAAATTGAGCACTCTCCAGCACCTAGCACAGTGCTTGTTACACTGAGTCCTCAATATTAAAAGAGAACTTTAATCATTCATTTGATCAGAATGGGTTCTAAGTGCCTATTAGTGACCAGACACTGCCCAAGTTATTGAGGATACAGAGACATAGCAACAGGTTCTGGTTGGAGGATCTCTGAGCCTGAAATAAGACACAGATGGACAAGAACAAAGTGATCCTTCCCACAGGGTATCTGTCTGGACATGATCAATGCCTACCCTTCACGTAGGTGGACTGTGCAAAGGAGAAATTATCCAAGTTCAGTATAATAACAAACACTGTTTAGGCATGATATAGTTTATATCCATTTTATCATTATCATTTGAACCTCACAGTGACTGCAAGATAAATACTATTACCCCTATTTTACAGATCAGGAAATTAAGGTTCACAGAGTCAAATCAGATAAATTAATTCTACTGAACCAGGTGGCTGAATCAGGTGTCTGAACCAGGATCTCTTGAACGTAGGTAGGTGTCGTGGCTTTACTTTCCATAGTAGAATCCTTTATAGTTAAATATTCCTTTATTTTAAGACAGAATCAAGTCTAACAGAGTAAGAAATGATTCTAGAGAAATAAAAGCATTGTTCTCAGAATAATGACACCTCCCTGCTTCATCAAGAGCTTCTGGTCATGGTCCAGTATTAGGGCTGGCTGGAAAATAGAAATTCCACCCTGGCCAGGAGATACAACTAGTGACCTTGCTGATTGAATCTGTACTATTGCTGTATAGCCTAGGCAACAAGAACACTGATTGAGAACATTCATTCTGTTACTTTTATAAAACCCTTGCCAGATGCACACATACAGAAAGTAGCCTTTCACAGAAATCAAGACTCATGGCAAGGTAAGGGCCAATTCAGAAGATACTCTAGCTGCTGAGATAGTTGTTCCTTTGTCTGCTTTTATCCCCTTCATCTGTGTATTTAGAGTTTCTTTTCTTTGCCCATTATATACGATTTCTGCCAAATCTTAAACCAACTCTAGAGAGGGATCTCCATAAATGCCAAATTATTTAGAAATATATGCACCTTCTAAAGGCCTGAATACCAGATTGCATCATAAAATGTAGTTTGTAATCTTTATGATAACAATTGTAAGAATATTATATAATACTATATATTATTTATATATAATTTTTGGTCAGGGAATAAAAAAGCAACTTTGTTTCTTATCCAATAATAATCTCTAGCATTTTATTTGAGTAATATAAGATATAAGAAGGTGAAATTTAGAGAAAATATTGTATGTCAATATATATCAAATTTTATGTAACACATATCCAAGGTACATTTTATCTCACCAGTTTTAAAGCATAACGATACTACATTTCATCTATCCACTTCCGAATTGTATTACAGGTCATAGGCCTTTTATATTACATGCACAGCAAGAGAGAGATTATTCCTTAAAAAGACAAAATGGTTAACAGAAGTTTATACCTAAATAATAAAATAAGGCCAGGAAACATATTTAACTTCAATAGTTACTGACAGCTAAATGAATCATAGTTATAGTTCTAAAAATAAATACCCTTTTTACGCAGCAGAACACTGGCATGTTTCCGTCCATTTCGGTTTTCTACATGGCAGGTGTAATTCGCCAGGTCAGCCTCCACCACTGAATCAAAAATGAGTGCCAACTCGACTTCTTTTTCTCCAAGATGCTCTTTGAGGAGCCTGAAATAAAGACAATATTCTTGGCTGAATTGTTTTAATTTGGGCAGAAAGCAGCCATGCAGAGGCTGCAGATGGTTGCGCAGCTCACACGTGTCTCTGGTGGGCACAGAGAATCCTGGGTGGGTATATGGGCAGGCTGGAAGTTCAACAAGAAAACACAAAAAATGGCTCTTAACCTGTAGATCTAATGAGAAAGTAAAGAAATGAGGAATTCACTCAGCAAAACAATATTAACATGACACTAGTCTGTGATAAACGAAGCCAATGTGACTTATGTGCCAAAAGGGTGGAGACATTGGGTTCCATATTCTAAACTGAGTTTATGAAAACTAATTGGGTTTTCCCATCATGGAATGTATGGGGAAAATCTGTAAGAGTATAGGTTTTGTGTTAGAGGTTAGAGTTTTGAAAGTAGTGAGGTAAAGGGGTAAAGAATGAGACCTTAATGATGGTTGCTCTATGAGAATTAAACTGAAGGTAGTTAGTAGATTTCTATCCCCAAACCTCATTGAGAAGGCTGTTCTCTGCTTTTCTCCTGCCAGTGGTTTGATGCAGTCATGTGCCCTGTGCCCTAATACCCCAACGATACTAACCACCCCCCATGGCCCTGCTCCTCCTTTGTCCTTCTGCCTTCTTCCCTTACATAAGAAACCCTGCCCTATGTGACATTTTCTCCAAGTCTTGTTTTTTGCTTTATCAAGTTAAGTTGCAAAGGGCTTTGAACAGCCAGGAGCAGGTGTTCTTCACAGAGGAGCTGAGTTGTCAGGATTGTTTCCTAAGTCTGTGCCTACTACTTCTTCAGAGAGTTACATTCCCATCAGTGAACAGCTACCTCTTGGGCGAGATGAAAGTAGGTACCCTACTGAGTTTTTTTTTCCCTATCTCCTGGCTTTGGCCAAAGAAGGAGCAAATTATGAGTCTACATGGTGGTAATCCTGCAGTTAAGTTCTGGGATAGGTTCTTAAATACATATATTTGCAAGCATGAAATATTCTAGATGAAGAGAAAGCCCCTCTGATTTACTGGCATTGAGTGTAAAGTAGAAAAAGATGACTGTTCTCAGAGAAAACTGGGCTCAAATATAGGCCTCCCACTTACAAGCTCAATCTGGGTCCTTACAAAGTTATTAACTCAATGGTTCCTTAATTTAACTCACCTTAAATTAGGAAAAATAATTACTATGCTTACTTTAACTTTGTTGTAAGAGTAAAATGAATTAAAGTGATTTGAAAAATAAATAGCAATAAGCACATGCAAAGGAAGACTATTAAACATAAACATTTCATTATCTTAAGGTAGATTGTTTCTATTTTGGCTCCTCAAAAACATCTGTATTTACCTTTGTTGACATTTAGGATTGGCCTGGCTTAATCTTTTCTAGCATCCCTTTGAGAGAAGGAAGGGCTTGAAGTTGGGTAGATGGAAAGGAATTCCTAGAATCTGAGAGTCTCCCATACTGAAATCTGAAGCCAAAATTATATTCCAAATACACATGATTTTAAAATTAACCATCTTTCTGTTCCCTTTCAACAACATACATACCTGAGAGTTGACAATACTGGCATTTGTAGCTCCAGTAAGTCTTCTTCTCCTGCTCTTTACATTTATGTATCATCACCAAACCAGACTAGTATAAGAATTTTCTTAACTGGACTTTTGAGGCTACATCTTACTGTTAGTCTTTCTATTAATTGTTTTTCTTCCTGACTAAAGTTGCAGTTTTCCCCTCTCTCTCCTCTCCCAACATGTACCTAACCAAGAAAAAATTGGGAGTTTACTGTCTTCGTGGTTTATATTAAATTTTACTCTCTCCATTTTCTCTCTGCTATTGGTAAAATCCACCACACTCAATTCTTTTAGCTCTGTGTAATTTGTGGAAGAATCCTGTGTAGTTCCAGAAGCTGCTTAGGCACCACAAATTCAGTTTGATTTAAAGCTTCATGTGGAGGGCAGCCACAGTCTCTGCCAGGCACGGGGCAGAAAGCTGATCCTGTTCTTCCCAACCAAGCCTTTTCCCTCTTCATTTCTAATGCAGTTTCCAAAAACAGCTCCTCACAGGCTGCAGAAAGAATCTGGAGAGAGGATTTGTAAAATGATCCTTGGTTCATCTATTAATATATATATGAGGTGTCTTAATTATCAGCTCTTAAAAATCTAAAGATGACTTGCTTTTCTGGAATTAAACAGCATGATGGTGTTTATGTCTACAAATCACTCTGCAGAGCAGTGATAATTCCTTTTCGAATATTGATATATAATAATCCATCAATGATTTTGTGCCAGTCCGTAATAAATGCCTAGCTCTGTGCTAGATATTTGGTGTGAGAAAATATAAATATTAAAAAACCTGGTTCTTGCTCCCAATAAGCTTTATTTATTTTTTTTAACTTGGCAACTTTATTTATTTATTTATTTATTTATTTATTTTTATTTTTATTTTTATTTTTGTCTTTTGTCTGTTTTTTCCGTGTCCGGCAACGGATCGCAACCCTCAGTGTTGCCCCCGTACCGGACCAGGGACCGGCAACGGGATTGCAAACCTCGGTGTTGCTCCCACGCCTCGCTCAGCCAGTGAGCGGGAGCCGGTCTGTATGTGGGATCCGAACCCTCGGGCGGCAGCGCTGCCGCGCCTCCCAAGCGGCGCACTATCCAGTGCGCCACTGGGCCGGCCCCTGCTTTATTTATTTATTTAATCAATATACAATGTAGTTGATTTTTGTGAAGACAAGACATATAATTTTTTTTGAAAAAAAAAAAGCATGGGTGTACAGTCATACTTCCAACAGCACTTTAAGGAAGAGACAGACTATTGTTGACTGAATAGCTAGAAAAGACATTAGAAATCTCTGGCTAGACAAAAGAAAGAAGGGAAGGCTTTCCAGAAGGGAAAATAGGAGCAGATTTTTGCAGAATGTGTGAAAGGGATAAGCTAAAGAGACTGGTTTCAGAATGGAGGATACAGGTGAGAGAATCCTGAAATATACTCATACAGTTGTCCCTCAGATACCAATATCTGTGATGCTCAAATCTCTGATATAAAATGGCACAATATTTGCGTATAACCTATGCAATCCTCTCATATACTTTAAATCATATCTAGATTATTTATAATATTTAATAAAATGTAAATACTATGCAAATAGTTGTTATACTGTATTGTTTAGGGAATAATTACAAGGAAAAAAGTCTGTACATACTCAGTACAGACGCAGGTTTTTTTCTGAATATTCTTAATCTGCAGTCAGTTGAATACATGGATGTGAAACACATGGATAGAAAGGGCCAACTGTATTTCAAATGACCTCAGAAGTATCCCATTCCAAGGGCTAACATTTTTTGAGGGGGTGGTAAGAACCACATATATTTTAAATTTACTTTTCAACAGCTTTTTTGAGGTATAATTGATAAACAAAAAACTGTACATATTTAATGTATACAATTTGATGAATTTGGACAGATGCTTATACCCATGGGGGAAGGGGGTTAACCAAAGTGGTCCAAGGATTAACATCTAAGGTAAGATATATGTAGCAGTGAACACTGGCAAAATAAAAGATAATCATTTTCAAGTGACATAAATTACTATTTTCAAAAGTTTTATTTAGTTAGGATCTATTATTACAAAGTGATACTAGAAAGAGTTTGGAAACTGTTACTGTCATCCTCACAATAACAACAAAAAAGCCAAACAAACAGAAAATTATCAACTCTTCTTAGATCTATTAAAGAACTGAAGTCACAGGGCAAACTCCTGCCCCCAAAACTTGAGAGAGGAAAATACTTAGAAACACAGTGTACTGGGATCAGAATGCCAGGAGCAGGAGCCAGTACCTGTAAGAATACTTAAATCAAAATTGATGAATTTCTGGAGGCCCATTATGGACTAGCTTGGGAGGTAAAAACTCCATGGAACCTAACCTAATCTTAAGGAGACCCCCGACTTCTGTGAGTTTTGCCTACAGAAGCACTACCAGGATCTCAATGTAAAAATCAGATATAAGTGTCCATATGCTTCTGGCAGGGGGAAAGGAAAATTAACCACTTAAAAATGAGTCCAGAAAGCTCTATTGTCCTTTAAAAAAGCTGCCCTGGAGGGAAACTATTTTATCACAGCCTAAACTACTTAGGTTTTACAAAAACCTACCCTATATAGGAGAAAGAAAATAGCCAATTCCAGACCCCTCTAGCTTTTCTGTCTTACCTAAAGAGAGGGGTGGAAGGTAAGAAACACTTATGAAGGTAACAACCCAGTGACGTGGCTCACTAAGTAACTGAGACCTCATCATAAAATTAGGAAGTGCTTACCACCACATTAACAAGGCTCCTGTATAATAACAAGATATTTTAGCTGGAAAAAAAACTGCAAAGTTCAGAACCTATTTAAAAAGCAGTCTCTGAGAAAACCCGAAGAAAACAGTGGAGACAAAAACAAGGGCAGTAGAGGATATTTTAGCCTCTGACACCTACAGCTATAGAAAATGGTAAACACAGCCTCTCAGACAGATACATATAAAATGTAAAGATCTATTTACCTCAGTTTCTTGTACCCAATACCTCATATCTGGTTTTCAATTAAAAAAAAATACAAGTCATGCTAAAAAAAAAGCAAAACAAATACAAACTAAGCAACACAAAAAAATAACACCCACAGTTTGAAGAGAAAAAGAAAGCATCAGAACCAGACTCAGATAAGGCAGAAATATTGGCATTATCAGAATGAGAATATAAGACAACTATGATTAATATGTCAAGGACTTTTATGGAAAAACTAGAAAATATACATCAATAGAGTATGTAACCAAAGAGATGTAACCAGAGTAATGTAACCAGAGAGATGGAAACTGAAAGAAGGAATCAAAAGGAAAATCTACAAATCAAAACACTGTAACAGAAATGAAGAATAACTGACTGAACACAGCCAAAGAAAGAATCAGTGGGCTTGAAGATGTCAGTACAAACTTCCTAAACTGAAGTGTAAAGAGAAAAAAAGAATAAAAAAG